GAAGTAGGAAATTAGTTCTGCGGGAGGTCTTGAAGATGAGTATCGTAGGTGAACATATGAGCGAAGGACAGATTCCAGAGCAGAGGGGGCTGGATGTCATATACGTGTTCATTAGCTAGGATAGACAGACAGATAGGCAGACAGACAGACAGAAGCAATGTTATGGAGTGATTTGCAAATAAGGACTAGAGGTTTAAATAAAACTTTGGCTCTCCTTCAAAACCAGTGTAAAGGGATGCAAGAGGTCCAGACAATATGTCTGGCTGCAACATTTATTATGTACTGCAATGGGCCAAGATGGACATAAGATCAGTCTCATATTTATATTTTATAAACAGCACATACATATATTTGATTTTCAAACATTGTGTGTGAATACAAGACTGTCTTTAAAAGTGGTATTAATTGATTGACTGGAGGGGAGACATAAAAAGAGTGCTGTGTGTATAGAAGAAAGAATATGTCAGAGTATAAAATAGAGGGATAAGATATGGAGGGCAGATAAAGCCTTTACAGGGATTTCTTTTTAAAAGGGCCAGGGGAAGCTTCAAATATTACTTCCCCTAATTTTATTTTATTACAATTTTTATCGTATATTTCATTAACCCCTTAAAGACAGAGGCAATTGTATACGTTCTGATCAAAACTAAATCAAAACAACACCTGGAATTTGACTATATGTCTGTTCAGCTATAATTAACCTCCTTCATATTAAGTGCACCCACACTTATTATATATCATTTTGTTCAGGAGAAACCGGGATTTAATTTCACATCATAATTAATATTCATATATTTATATATATAAAAAATAATGTTATAGGAATAAACACTAAAATATGTGAGAAATTCTGAAAAGTAATTTTTTTAGTTTTGCATGACATTTTAACTGTGAATGTCATACTAATGTTAGTTTTTGCTTCAATAAATTACACATATTTGTGTTCAGTGATGTCTCCCAAGTACAACGGTACCCCCATGTACAGGTTTTATGGCGTTTTGGAAAGTTACAGGGTTTTTCCCTTTCCAGTTTTTACACATTCAATTTTGTCAGATTGGTTATTTTGCCTTTGAGACCATATGGCACCCAAGGATGGACAATTACCTCCATCATGGCATACCAAAATGGAGTATGTCCAAAATGTGTTTCACCTTGGCTTTATCAAGTGGGCAGAAACATATACCTATACCGATACTGTGATGCGGTATCGATCTCAGTACCTCACGAATGCCCGCCCACCTCTCTATTTTTATTCTACACTTGTTTCTACTGCACATTATACATATTTTTATAAAGGATCAGTGGCGTACTAAGGGGGGCGGAGGGGGTGGTCCGCCCCGGGTGCCACCAGGGTGGGGGAAGCCTCAAGCCCTGAGCGCTCTGTAGAGAGCCTCAGGCGGCTGCAGCTTTGCCCGGGCGGTGCGTCCATGAGGGCGGACCGCACCGCCCGGGCGCAGCCTGAGGAGAGGGGCTGACAGGAGGGAAGCGCTCAGCGCTCCCTCCTGTCAGCTCCCTCACTGTAGCGTGGCCGAGCCCAGTATAGTCCGCGGGTACAGGGAGCATCTGTCTCCTGTACCCGGCCGGACTAACAGGAAATGCACACTGAGTGTTCACTTCCTGTTAGTCCGGCCGGGTTCAGGAAATAAAAGCTCCCTGTACCCACGGACTAAACTGGACTCGGCCACGCTACAGCAAAGGTGGGGGGGAGGTGCTGAGAAAGGAGGGGGTGAGAAAGAGAAAATGGGGTGAGAGAGAAATGAGGGGGTGAGGAGAGAAACAAGTGAGAGAAAATGAGGGGGATGAGAGAGAAATGGGGGGGAAGTGAGAGAGAAATGAGGGGGGTGAGAGAGAAAATGAGGGGGGGTGTGAGAGAGAAATGAGGGGGTGTGGAGAGAGAAATGAGGGGGGGTGGGAGAGAGAAACAGGGGGTGAGGAGAGAAATGAGGGGGTGAGAGAGAAATGAGGGGGGTGGAGGAAAGAAATGAGGGGGGGGTGAGAGAGAAATGGAGGGGGTGAGAAAGAGGGGAGAGGGGGGTGAGAAAGAGAAAGGAGGGGGGGTGAGAGAGAAATGGGGGTGAGAAAGAGGAGAAAGGAGGGGGTGAGAGAGAAAGGAGGGGGTGGATATTAATTGTGGGGTGTATTAATTAAGGGGGGATGGATTAATTATGGGGGGTGGATTAATTAGTGTGGATTAATTATGGGGGGTGGATTATTATGGGGGAGTGGATTAATTAAGGGGGTGGATTAATTAGTGTGGATTAATTAAGGGTGTGTGTATCAATTAAGGGGGGTGGATTAATTAAGGGCGTGTGGATGAATTAGTGTGGATTAATGGATGAATTAGTGTGGATTAATTAAGGGGTATGGATTAATTAAGGGGTATGGTTTAATTAAGGAGTGTGGATTAATGAAAGAAAACCTTTAACATTTTTTACAGGTTTTTTTTTTGTTTTGTTTTTTTTGGGGGGGGGGGGCCAAGCACAGGATCCGCCCCGGGTGCCAAATGCTCTAGGTACGCCCCTGGTTTTACTACCTACCTTATGCCCTCCGTGCTGCGTTAATCAGCCAGAGACTGCTATTACTGCTCATTCTCTACAGTGGAAAACCTGGCACAGGTCACTTCTGAGCCCCCCCCCATGAAGCCCATGTGTTAACATTTAAATAATGGGGGAGGACAGATTAACTTGTCCTGCCCCTTAGCCCCACCTGTTTCCAGTAAGACTATAAAATAATAAAGAGGGAAGACATTCTAGTATCCCCCACCCATGAGCAGTGCGTGGGGGTATCAATTAAGTAATCATGGTTCAACTACCAACTAACAGGGTTAGTTATAAAAAAAGGCCAATAAATATGCTTCGAGGCATTTTTATTGGCGGATTTATTTCAAGTCAAGTCAAAATTAATTTCAATCAAAAAAAATATTGAATGTTTACAGATGATATAATTAAATTGAGGCCAAAAGTCTGTGGAAAAATCGAAGGACATAAGACGTGACTTTCTCAGAAACAGCTTAGTTTTAAATTGTCTGAGAAAAGAGACAGAATCTATACACCAAAACCACAACATTAATATGTAGCGATTCTGATGTGTTGACTGTCCTTTTAATGTTATATTGAAAGAACTGTACATAACACTAGGCAGCTGGTAATGATGTAGCCATTCTCACATTGCTGGAATTGGGACGTTGTAGGAACGTTTGTTTCATACTGTGGTGACCTTTCTAGAGTTTGTATGTAATATAGCTTATTCAGCTGTGATATCCTTGCACACACCGAGGCCCTACTATCTCAAGGGTTGCTACCAAATGTTAGAATATCAGACTTCAGGAATTCGTTTGTTCTTCCCTGTGTGTGTTGCAGCCGGTAGCTTAGTTTATTTTCTCCATGAAAGTATTTGCTTTCTAATTGTGCTCATCACAAAAATCACATTTTTGTTTTTGTTGCTTTATTTTCTGCTTATTCATTTTAAACTTTCTATCTACGGTGCTTTCAAAACCTTACATTCTCCTTTTAAGGATCAATGTACGTACCATGCAATTGTTTGATAGGCTTGCAGTATCACTAACCCCATCCACAGTTCTATTTTCATTTATGTGAAAAGGACAGGTGAATCATAGTGTCACATAGAATTTTAATGATATTATTGGCCAAGTTGACCCATTTTTTCAAAGTGTAAATAGAAGACATGCCTAATTAATATGTATTATTTTTGTGCTAAAGTATAATCATTATTTATTGCATACATGTACTATAAACTAGGCTTGCATGGCAATAAAATTTGATTCGGCTGAGACGTTTCAGTCAAAAATAAGTATAATTCAGATATCCACATTTCATCAAAACCAGCATTTGGCTAATTTAACCTATCGCTGTGCAGGAAAATATATACATAATATTTACGTGTGCATATATTTTGCAGTACAGTGAAACTCATTCTAGTGCCCTTGTCCTAAAGCCGGTCAGAATTCCGTTGATAGAATTGTGATGTAATTCTGACTGAATAGATTCTACCATTAGCATCTTACAATTCAAACTCCACTCCATGTTCAGTAAACATTCCGATTTTTAGTGTTCATTTACCTTTGAGCATTTGATTACCTATTTTAAGTGTTCAGTATAGCTGATCCCTGCTTTTGTCCATTGCCAATTTGGTGACACTTCCATATGATGCTTTTTAGTTAGGAAATTCGGAAGACCCGACAATTGGCCAAAACTAAGATGAATTGCAATCTTTAATAAAATAGCAATGGTTAGGTTTTATTTAATTAATCTATTCAGATTTGCATCATAGAATAATGGACAAGTTCAATGTGATTTTAAGTAAAACCAACTTCAAAACAAAACTAAAGCCAATAGAGCGCATGCGTCCAAATTGAGCCAGTGAGGGGAAGGGGAAGAAAGAAGGGGAGGGAGGGTAACTACATTTTTTCAAAAAAATTAATACAAGAAGTAAAATATGCCAAGAATTGACATTGGAGCATAATTGTGAGTGTATATTGCTTTGCAGACAAATTTAAAAAAATCTAATTATGTAATTTCCACCTATGTGGATTCCTGATAACATGTCTGACACAGCAGAATGCGGAAAGATGGCATACAAGCCACTTCCACACGAACCTAAAGATTGTCCTAAGACTGTTTTAACTCCTTAAGGACACAACTTCTAAAATAAAATGGAATCATGACGGAATATTTCCGTCATGTGTCCTTAAGGGGTTAAGTATTAATATCTGTTGTTATTTTAAGTGAGGTTCTGTTCAAGAGGCCAGACAATTTCCATCTATATTTACTACTTATCTAAAGAGCCCTTGAGGAACCAAAAGACCCCCCAATATAGACCAACCCTCCATTATATTTTATACTTATCTTAGAAGGGGGAGAGCCCACAAAACCCTACCAAGGTACCCAACAGCAGGGGAACCTCCTACCCATGAGATGGCACCCCCAAAATCTCAAAGGGCATCGGATTTCTTCCAGCAGGGTAAGGGAGGGAAGCAGCGCATGGAACAAGATGGGGGGGGCTCCCACTCACCCACTCACACCTCAGACACAGGGTCAGACACAGACTCGAGGCAAGTAACCGCAGATAATCACTCTGTGTCAGAGAAACGTCTGGCGGCCATGTTGCAGGACCTACGCACCTCTATGAAGACTGAATTCCAAGGTGCGGTCTCCGACATGCGCAAAGACATCCATGAAGTGGGGACACGGGTGAATGCGCTAGAAGAAAAAACTGATGAGCTCTGTCACATGAACGACACCATAGTAGAGAAAATACAAAGGATGAAAGCTGATAACAAACGCCTTATGGAAAAACTGGCGGATCTGGAAGACCGCTCCTGCCGCAATAACATCCGCGTGCGTGGGGTACCAGAAACAGTAACACAAGAAGAGCTGCCGGCCTACCTACTGCGACTCTTCCAAGCGATCCAACCAAGCCTAGAGCTGGCGGATCTCCGCCTGGACCGGGCACACAGAGTGCCAAAACCTCAAAGCCTTGCGCAGGAAGTCCCAAGAGACATAGTGACCAGATTGCACTACTATAGTGCTAAGGAAGCCATACTCATGGCGCAAAGGAAGGCCTCAGTGATGCCGCCGACCTATGAAAGTATCTCCTTCTTTTCCGACCTCTCACCAACAACAATGGCCAGGAGAAGAGACTTCATTAACATCACGAAATGCCTCAGAAACAACAAAATACCGTACAGGTGGGGATTTCCTACAAAACTCCTTATCTGGCAGAATGGCTCCCTAACAAAGATTGAGGATCCAGCTCTGGGAATGGACAAGCTCAAGACCTGGGGCATGTTCCCAGACAGCAAAGCATCAAACGCCCAAGCCTCCCTAAAGAAGCTGACCGCGCATTGGACCAAGGCCTAAAGGGTGCTACCGTCACTCAGAAGGGAGTGCCGGCTACAGCCCGACTCAACCACTGTGTCAAAGCTCCATGAGACTCTCCATGGTGACCATCCCAATCTGGGAACGGCATAGCATGAAGGACATTCAGTACCCAAGTGAGTACGCTTACCCAACCCCCCCAACCACCCCCCCAAGCCCAGCACAAAGAAAAAATGACTCTGCCACACCAATGCACAATTGGCCCACCTTGTCACTGCGAGATTTACCCTTAAGCAGGCAGACCTGCTGCTCAGAAGCCTTGCAGAGACTGTTTATAATAGCGGGAAAAAGGGACTACACCCACTAAAATCTGAACCCAGCAAGGCCGGACAAAAGGCCAAAAAACTGCAGGGCGCGGAGGTTGTACTCACCCCTCCCCCACCCCCCACCACCATCATGCTACACGAGAGGCAAGCGCCCGACCCACTCATGGACTTATGCAATGACAGCCAACAGCTCAATCGTGCCTCCATATATCCCCCCCTGCCGCCTGCCTCTTAGAGGGAGCCGGGTTCTAAAAGAGGTACAGGCCTCACCAAATATCAGACACCCCCCCGACACGCTTACGGGACACCACCTGCCGCTGTGACCCCCTCTCAGTGCAGTAGAGGGTGCGAGCTCGGCGGCGGGGTCCCCCACATAATGCTTAATAGCTTTTTGAAATGTATATACTTTATTTCTGTTTTATGGTTATGTTGTCTAGGTTATGATTCAGGTTGTTCCCCCTGTCCAAACCCCCTACCCGAGATGCTCCCCTTCCACTAAAGGGTAAGACGAGGGGAAAAAATAGACCCACCCTACCCACTCTGTTATGTAGTGGCAATGGGAAATACCACACCCAAACGACTAGGCCCTAGGGCCACCCCAACTAGATAAAATGACCTCCGCCAATAACTTCCGCCTAGTGTCCCTGAATGCCCATGGGCTGAACACCCCACAAAAACGCAGGCTGGCGTTCTCCCAATTACACACCCTACACGCTTCTGTAGCCTGCATACAGGAAACCCACTTCTCAATTAAAAGCCCACCAAAATTCTCGTCCACATCTTATCCACAAGCCTACCATGCCACGGCACCGAATAAGACACGAGGCGTCAGCATTCTCTTCCACTCTGATTGGCAATTTAAATGTGAAGTAGAATACAAAAGCCCCGATGGCCGGCTTTTAATACTGGTAGGATCACTAAATGACGTCCAGGTGATGGTAGTCAACCTGTATGCCCCCAACACCAACCAATATGACTTCATTAGGAAAGCTTTACAACAAGTAGACAAGAAGAAGAGAGGGCAGACGCTTATTTGTGGGGACTTTAATTGTGTACTGGACCCTGCTCTAGATAGGACCGGCAGACCCAGCTCCTACTTGCGATCCACACAATTAGGGACAAAAATAACAGCACTCCTCAACTCACACGGCCTACATGATACATGGCGTTCACTATACCCAGCCTCTAAAGACTACACGTTCTATTCCAAGGTGCATGATCAATACTCCCGAATAGACATGTGCTTAGTGGATGGAAAAACGCTAGATACTCTAGATGAGGTCTCCATTGCCCCAATAACTTGGTCAGACCATGACCCCCTCACATCAGTCTTTACTATGCTCCACCCAGTCCGGGGTTGGGGACAGTGGAGACTAAATTAATCACTGATAGACAATGTGGACAGGGCAGCCGAGATAAGGAGCGCCTTGGCGCACTACTTTGTAGATAACCACTACACCGACATGAACGTCGCTATGACATGGCTTGCCCATAAGGCGGTCACGCGTGGTCTGCTCATACGACGGGGGCAAAACTGAAGTGCCAACTGACAGAAAAGAGCAGGACCTTGCTGACCGATTTAAAACAGGCAGAAACACGACACAAGACCTCCCCTACACACTCCAACAGGCAGGAGGTACAAAAGATAAGGGCCACCATAGAAGCACTACAGATGCAGCAAGTAGAACGGGCAATTCGCAAAATGAAAACCAACTACTATAGACAGGGAAATAGAGCTGGCAAAATATTAGCCTCCCAACTCAAGGAACGTAACTCACAAATGAAGATCCCATACATCAAGGACGACACGGGCACCAAGATTAGAAACCCCAAGGCAATAGTAGACAAATTTGCCCAATTTTACGCAGGGTTATATAACCTATCTGAGGACACCACCCAACACCAACCCAGCCCCCAAGACATCACTACCTTCCTGGAAGGGGTGACTCTCCTCCGGCTCTTCAACGAACAGGCCACTGCACTGACCAACCCGATTGTAGCCTCTGAGGTATCAAAGGCTCTACACGACACACCCAGACACAAAGCCCCAGGCCCAGACGGCTTCTCAACCCACTACTACAGGGTTTTTGAGGACCAGCTGCTTCTCCACCTCACGGCCTTATTCAACCATATCCTAGAGTCAGGTGAGATACCCCCGGAAATTTTGGAAACCACCATTATTACGCTCCCTAAACCAGGCAAAATTACTGATACATGTGCAAACTACCACCCAATCTCACTCCTCAATGCTGACACAAAGTTGTTTGCCAAGACCCTTGCGAACAGAATCCGCCCCTTACTAGCCAAATTAGTATCCCCAGAACAATCAGGGTTTGTCCCTGGGCGTCAAGTGGAAGACAACACCAGACGAGCCCTTGACGTAATGGAACTTATGAATAGAGATTGGTCACAGGGCTTGATAATGTCCTTAGACGCAGAGAAGGCCTTTGACAGACTCCACTGGGGTTATATGACAGAGGTCCTTCGCAGGTTCAACTTCCCGACGAAATTCCTGACCGGGCTCCTATCCCTTTGCTCGTCCCCCCAAGCCACAGTCATGAACTCCGGTTTCATCTCCAGACGATTTGCCCTAACGAACGGCACAAGGCAGGGATGCCCCCTACCCCCCTCATTTTTATTCTGGCATTGGAGCCCCTGCTTCATAAAATCAAAAGTAACCCCAGCATTATAGGTGCCCCTTCCCCGATAGGCCCACAAAAAATGGCAGTATTTGCTGACGACATCCTTCTCTTCCTAGCAAATCCTTTGGACTCCCTACCGGCCCTCCTGGACCTACTACAGGAATATGGCCACTACAAAAATAATGTAGCAAAAACACAGGTACGCCCACTGAACATGCCCCGACCCCAACTCATGACCCTATGAACGTTATATCCCTTTGAATGGAGGAAGGATACCATCTCCTATCTAGGCACACAACTAGCACCTTCCAAACAGCTCCTCATAAAACATAACCATGGGCGTCTCACAGCAAAAATAGAGCAGGTGCTGGAGGGCTGGGGAAACAAAAACAAACACACAACCTGGTTGGGGCGCATCAATGCCGTAAAAATGATCATACTACCGCAATTATTATTTCTATTCAGGGCCCTACCTATCAGTTTACCAAACTACACCCTCCGAGCATTTCAGCGACTTCTCAACACACACATATGGAGGAAAAAAACACCCAGGATCTCACTAGCGAACATTGGCACAGCCATGGGGGGAGGCGGGGTTGGTGTGCCACACATAACCAAATACTATCTAGCAACGAATCTAGCCCAGACGGCGCGCCTCATTTCCTCCTCAGACTGCCCAATGTGGCACCGACTGGAGAGTGCGGTCCGTGCACCCTACTCCCTCAGGGACCTGATTTGGATCCCAGCCAAAGCACAACCTCGACTCACCAACCCTCTTACGACAACCAAGCTGTCCCTGCAGCTATGGCTGAGATGGGCCCTGAAAATGCTCAGTGAAAAGGTGGTGACCTTTGCCCCGCTGACGAGTCTCCAGCACCACACACATGACCTGGCCCTGAGCGGGTGGGTAAACAGAGGGGTAACAAAGATAGCACACCTCTATGGAGCAAACGGACTGCTGGCATTCCCGGACCTCCAAAGCCAGTACCTTCTACCAAACAGTGAAATATTCACGTATTTACGCATAAAACATATAGTAGGGGCTGCTGTTAAGGAAATGACACCAACACAACCCCAAAACCACTTTGACTTGCTATGCCAAGGTCTCAAACCCCCCCAAAAACCACTCTCCCTGTGTTACCATAGGTTACTAGACATAGACAGACCGGCCAAACAATCATACATGCTCAAATGGGAAAAAGAGCTGAACTATGAACTTGAGCCTGGGAAATGGATAGGGGCCATGACATTGGTTAAACGGGTGACAAGGTGCTTAGACCATGTAGAAGCAGCCTACAAGATGTGGATGCAGTGGTACTACACACCACACAGGCTGGCCCAAATATACCCAGGGGTGCAGGATAGATGCTGGCGCTGCAGCCAACAAGTGGGAAATACGAGCCACATATTCTGGTAATGCCTGGCACTTAGCCAATACTGGCAACAAATCCAAGACGTAATTAAATCCAAACTAGGAAAACAAATACCACTCAAGCCTGAACAATATCTGCTCCACATGCTACCCCGAGACCTCACAGCCTACGAAGCAGCGTTGTTTACCCACATCACTTTAGCAGCTAAAACGTGCATAGCCGCCCTGTGGAAAACCACGACAGTACCTGACATAAAGGCAGCACTTGCCAAAGTAAGCCTCACCCAACAGTACGAGCAGGTGGCACATACAATAGGTGGCACACTAGAATACTACAACAAAACATGGTCTAAGTGGTGATGTCTATGTGGATACCAAGACGTCAAACTACACCCCACCAAGCCTTAAAGCAAGAGAGCATCTCAATTCCCCCCCTCCCTCCCCTCGTATTACATCCTATTCCCAGTTAACCCCCCTCCACTCACCCCCCCCCGACATAAAATAAGGGCTTACGTTGCTTTACCGAGCCCCAAAATACGAGATGATGAGTAAGGAAATCAGTTTCCAGCCCACACGACACGAAACTAAATAAATAAACAAGACGCAAAAGGTGATACATGCCCAGCTGTTAACCATCTGGCCCATCCCAAAGGAGGGCGGAGGATACATGCCCAGCTGTTAACCATCTGGCCCACCCCAAAGGAGGGAGGAGGATACATGGCCAGCTGTTAACCATCTGGCCCACCCCAAAGGAGGGCAGAGGATACAGGCTGGGGATTATCCCCCGGGTGCCTGGGGGACACTACTTAGAGGCATGATAACACACACCAGAGAGCGTGCCCAGCCTACCAGGTACCAAAAACAGGGCATTACTCACCACTTATAACAAAGGCATGAATGTTGATTTTAACGAAATACTGTACCACTGCCACAAGGATGTATTGTAAAATGCCGTTGAAAACTGTTATCACTATACACTCTCTGTTTATGCAATAAGTGTAAAACGTAAAATGTATGTTAAAGTGTCAATCCGAACCTTTTCATCTCAATAAAAATGAAACATTTAAAAAAAAAAAAAAAAAGAAGGGGGAGAGTACTCTGTCTAACAGTGCACATATCACTCCCGCACCCTTTCCCAAACCCTCCCCGTGTCTATGACAAAAAAAACTCAGAACATGGCTGCAATAAACAGAGGCTAACATGGATATATAGATCTACCTTGCCTACAAACAAGGAAGCAGAGGTAGATGCATAAAATAGACACCAAGGGAAAATGCACATTTTGCCTGTTACACAGTTCCAGCACATTAAAACTCAATGGAAGAAGAGACACACACCGAGATACAAATTTGGACAATAGGTTGGGAATCAAATAGCCAAAGTGAACAGTTTGCATTGTGCTGCTATATGAATAGTATCTTGCACACTGCTGTTTGCAATGTATATTATAATGCAAAATGTACTTGATTTACGCTGAGTTGGTAGAATGACAATACCACAAAATTGTACCCCTCCTCCCCCCTTTTTCCTTTCTGTACCCCAAAAACAAATGCATTTTTATGCATTTTATCATTGGGGGTTTATCTAAAAAAAAAAGCTGTAGATCATTTTTTGCAGCATTTGCAACTCCTCCTCTTCTAACTCTGCCCAGACTTTCTGTGGCTGTCCAAGCACAGACTTCCCAGTGCAGCTCAATTAGAAGTCTTTGCAAGGCAGGTGCTCTAGGAAATTGCTGCTTCTTGAATTTAGCTCAACTTAGTTAAACAGCCAGGAAGTAACATGGCCAATTGTCTGATTGACAGCCAGGTGGGTGTAACTGGGTTAATTTATAAAAAAATCACCAATCTATTTCAACAAGCTAAAGTGCTTTAGTGATCCCATTAAAGCATTTTCTTTTGCTATGTATTGTAAGATATTCATAAGATAAAATGTATATATTTTTATTGCATTGGAATTTAATTCCACAGCAATATACATGAGAGTTTTATAATTGTTGCATATTTATAAAAATCTCAGAAGTGACAATGTCAATTAAAGTTTCAGATTATTTTAATGTGTATTTTATGATTTATTTATTTATTAAATATATTACCAGGAAGGATACATTGAGATTTCTCTCGTTTTCAAGTAGGTCCTGGGTCCACAGATTTCAATTGTTACAATATAACATTAAAAATACAAAATTATATTAAAATACACATATATGAATTTAACACTGAACAGATCAGAAAATATAATCAACCTTGATTACAGGTGCATTGAGATATATTGACAGAGATCTCTAAAATAATTTTCGACTGGAGGAAGATTTCATTGTACGTGCAAATTTACTAATTCTTTGTCATGGAGCATATGTTTCTATTGGTACCTTGAATTAAAAAAAAAAAACGTATATTTCTGCTTTTTTCACAAGTAACAACCTTTGTTCACTTGTTACATGTTTAAAAGATAAAAAGTAATATAATGAACAATGTTATGATATAAGATACGTATTAGCATAGCCTATACACAGTTTTTCTATTCTTCAATTTCACTTGTAATTTATTTGTATACAATGTTAAAATATAGTGTATTTTACATTAATCTGAAGGAGTGATTTCCATACATTTAGGCAAATTCGTGTGGGTAAACATGTATAAGTAATTATAAAAATGATTAGTTCTGGGACTCCAGTAATTTTCCCATAAAGAATATAATAAACGTAAACAATTATATGTCATTTTTTCACTTAACTACTGTTCTTCTCGAGCATTTTAACAAGACGTTTTAAAGAGTCAAGAGGTCATTGCCAGACCACCCTGAATAGGAGTTTTCCCAACAAGGCAACTTGTGTCAAATCCCTAAGCTGAAAAATATCATCTATCACCTTTTATATTAATAGTGACTCATAAACAGAAAAACCCACAATGGCTTCAAAACTATGTATGGATTTTTTTTTAAATGTTCAATGTTTCTTTTGCAGGCAGAAGAAGACACAAAATAGGAATATCTTAATATAAAAAAAAAAATCTGTTACCTCTTCATCTCGTTTTTAAACTAAACATTGCCAAATTGATGCAGAACACTGACAACATTAAGTTGTGAATGTCAATTTATTGACTGAAATGCAACGATGTGGTACTGAGGGAGT